TAGATATTGATGATGAAGTTGGTGCTACTGCTACAAGGCCAGGCGCATGCTGTTAAAAGCACAGGATTCCCAAAAAAAGCAGGTGGCTGTGGGAATATATAAAAAAGACTTTTTTTTTAATGTTTTTCTCCCCCATATTTTATGGGGGGTTCTGTATTTATTCAGCTTTTTTCTGTTTTTTTAACCATGTAGTGACATGGACTTCCTCATAACACAAATAAATTTGAAGTGTGCGAGTTTGTGTAACATGAACATAAAATACCAAAGCGATTGAACAAAATTTTTCTCCCTTAGAAATCTTTTACTAGTAAATGGTTACACGCATGCAGTGTATTACAAATTTAATAGACTAGAAATTCCTTCTATTCAAACTTTCCCTACACTTCATTTTCCTAGTTACATTTCTGGTCATCACATGAAACTAAAAGTATATAAGGAATCCCTCTGTAGGCACTCAAACATTACTTCCCCAAGTGTCGTGAGAAAAACAGAAAAGATAAAAGTGTGTCTTTCACCCCGTAATAACACGAACTAAAACCAAAACATCAAGCACCAAATCCCTTCGTCATCAAACAACAACACTGAGCACACTGGCAGCGCTGGCCTCGCAGGCGTGCCGCGAGCAAATTGTTGTCACCCGAGTACTACGCGCCACTCCCCACGTCTTTCCGCGAGCGTCCCAGCAAACACGAGCATGCATGCAGCCTTCCCCGCGCCAGCATCCAGTCCCCGAACCCAGAGACCCGTAACGCCTTCCAGCAACCTAGTGCACGGTCGTGTCAGTAGCCCAGTAACCAGACGCGTGCAGGGCTGGGCCTCAGCATGCTGGACAACACATGGCGTGTGTCGAACAGGGCGTGCCCAGGCGACCCGTGCCAACAAGGATCAGCCTGAACCAGCCGCACCGAGCCCGCACCATGCCAAATGTCTTGAGCCATTTCGAACCCTTGAGCATATTCTCGAGCCGAAACTTGATTTTAAAAATTCGAGACCTTTTTTGCAAGCTTTGAAAATACATTTAGCTGAGAATTTCAGCTAAATTAATTTTTCTAAATTGGTAATTAGAATTACCTAGAAAAGATAAGTTGTACATGAAGCTTTTTGCTCAAAAATGTAGATTCCAAGGAATCGAGTCTTGAGAGCTATTCTGTGTGACATCAGCTTGACATCATCTGCATTTTCTTCACCATCTCCGGATATCAGGTGAGGGTTATATACTATGGTTTATTTCATATAACCATGTAGTAATATAGTCTTTATATGTTTGTGATTGTTGGTCGGTGGGCCGATTATGCTTTGTGAAATTGTCCTACTAGCGGTACCGTTGATGCCGACGGCATTAGTGGAAGTAGTTGATGTTGAGATTACTTACTAGCGGGATCGGTTGATGCTGACGACACTAGTAGTAACTAAGTTAGATACCAACAGTTCATGAAATAGGTTAACAGTGTATAATAGTCAAAAGTCGAGTAGATTATGGAGGCTTGAAATAATAGTTATTAGTTCGAAGTTACCATGGCGGCTTGAAAGAAGAGTCACTAAGCCGGGTATTTATGCAGTACAGTAGTGATTTCATGTTCATATGATTATTATGCTATCTGTGTTTATACTGAATTGATGCATAATATGAATTTTACCACTGGGCCTAGAGGATATGCTCACCCCATTGTTTTTCAGGTTGATTCAGCTGGCGGTGGTCACTAGTGGACGGGCGTGGTCATCATTTATTTATGATCTTATGTTTCTGCAAACTCTTTATGAAAATTATTGTTGGGTTGAATGTTTCATACTTTAAACTATGTTTGAATAATCAAAACTGTGGATGTTTTGGAATGTTTCTTATATGTTTCGAATGTTTGAGAGAAAAGAGTTTTTGAGTAATGCCGAAGAGTTATTTTGGGACATGATTTTAAAAGTTCAAATTATTTTTGAAAATCCATATCTTTTCTTAAATTAAGTAAGCGAGCGGTACAGAACACGTTCTGATAAAGCTGGTGCACCACCCGACATGCAACTTTTGCATGGATACACGCAGTGCCATCCTACACCCCTAGGTGGCACAACACCTTTAATGCCGAAACCCTAATTTTGGCCATAAAATCGAGTCTCCACTAGAGGTTAAGGACATATGATAAAAAAAAATTAGGAACATGAAAAAGAGAGGGCCATATCATTACAACCATGGCCATAACTATTATCTTTGTTTTCAGGCCATGAGCTACACCTGTAAACATTATCATTAATATAACAGGCCCGAAGATTCAAATTTCCTCGTCGCACCAGTTTATGCACCGATGAAATCGGTTTCAATTTACTTTAAGCAATTTCTTTTATTGCTTTATTAAAATTAACTCGCTAAAAAGTTACAATAACAAATAACTCTCAATTCTGTTGCCTTAATTATACATATCTCGTAATCGTTGGCGGTCTGCCGTCGAGAGGTTGTTAGCCAACTTTTAATTAAAGTTGTTAAATTGGGATAGTGTAGTAATTTTTGTCTAGTTATCCAAAAATTAAATTTAAATTGACGAAAAAAACAAATGTTGTGGTCAAATTTACAATTACCTCAAATAAATAAAATAATTAATAATGCAAGTAATTTAGGTCATTGAACCGCTCACCGTTTCACTGAGCCGAACCGTCAGATGTCACCAATCCTGAACCGGTCTGGGAAATAGAACAATGGCGGATTCCACACACCGTACCCACGCCATTACTTTCTCTGGAAACTGCCAAAACTTCTTCATTCTGTAAACCAAAATTACTCTCTTCTACTTGCCTTCGAACCCTAACCCTAATTTCATCTGATAGCTTCTGGTGCGAATAGAAAGTTCAATGGACACTAACATTACACACAGCATGTTTGACAGGCGCCCGGCCGCCAATTCCAGAACTCCTGCTGTTAAATGGGTCAAAGAATGGTAGAGTGATTAAAAGGCAATTCTTATGATGTGTTTCGGATAAATTTCCCTTGGATTTTTCATTATAAATGTATGAATTTTTGGATTTCGGAATTCTTTTTTTTTTTTTTTTTTTTGTCTAANTCGATTTTTTGTTTCCCTTTGCTTTATGATCATCTTGATGCATAAGAAATTGTAGTTTCAGTGATCGGAAATTATAGTTGATTGGAGGAGTTATTTCTGCTTTTCTCTTTTATTAGCTATTGTTATTTGTTATCGACCTCACTAAACCTTTTAATTTGTTACAGGGTGCCTCAAGACCTTGTGGCAACTGGTGGGAAGTGCTTAGTACTAAAATGGGTTAGTGGTAAGTCCAGTGATTTGCATCAGGCTGTTGATTAATGTATATTCAGTATGTGTTTGTGTAACTGTGTGTGATGGAATTGTGCTAGTTAAAGTTCTATTTTGAAAGGCCAAATTCTTCTAATGTGTTGTGTTTATTTGTATTCTGCACCAGGGTAAGAGTTCAAACCTAGGCATTGTTTGTTCAATCATTTTTACTTTTTTGTATAATGATTTTTGTCTCTGGTCCCACCACCTCGCATAGGAAGCAGAAGAAACTATCCATTTTTTTATTTATGTTTAATTTTCAAGTGAGCACTTTGAGTGTTGCATGGGGGACTATGAAGAAGAATTTTGTGATGAGAATTCTAGACTTTGGACTCTTGTACACTTAATTTAATTTCCTTTTTTTTTTTTGANTTTTTTTTTTTTGAGTAATACTTATTTGATTTCCAATAAAATGCATATTTGGAAAAGATTTAAGTCCTTCTGTTTACGCATTTTCTTGGAATTTATTTGCCTAGAAACCTTACATCTTTGCAATGTTGGGTTTGTGTGGGGTTTTGGAGTTTTTAGGAACTAACCTCATTGGTGAGTGCTTTTCGTGAATACTATGATTATTGGACTGGAGCCTTGATTGCTATGAGTTGGAAAAGTATAAACATTTTTTGACGATTTCAATATTAAAAGGAGACACCTATGTGTTTACAATCTATTTGTTAGTGTTTATTTTGGTTCAAGAAAGCTCCAATGCTGTTTATTTTCCTGTTTTTTTTTTTTAATTCTTTTGAGGACTGCAAGTCATCCAGACGTAGTTCTTTTAATTTGTTAAATTTGTTTCTTCTATTTTTCATGCGAAAGGGCACTTCATTAGGGACCACTACAGTTTCTTTTTCTTCTTTGGTTATCTTATTTTCTCAGAGGCCAAACTAAAAGAAATGAGAGAGAAGTCCAAAGAAGCAGAAGTTGCAGAACCGGAGCCTGAACCTACAACAGAAGTTCTTTTCCTTTGCAGTTTTGAAGGGTGTGGCAAGACATTTATTGATGCGGGGGCACTTAGAAAGCATTCTCATATTCATGGGGAGAGGCAATACATTTGCCATTATGAGAACTGCGGAAAGGTAATACGATCAGAGAGAATTTTGGAATGGTGTTTTGACCTTTTCGTACATAATTAGCACCATTAAGAACGACCCTTTAAGTGGAAATTTTCAATTCAAGAGAAGGGAAAAGTTATCTATTTTTCCCTGGAACTTTTACTCCATATGAAGAAATCAGATAAGAATTTTCTAATTGTTTACCGAGTCCCTTCATGTTATTGAATTCGAGTTAAAAGAAAAGGGAGAAAAAAGGAATAAAAAGGGGAAATTGGAGATTGCTAATTATTCAATTGTGTACTTCAGCAGAACACAGAGAAGATATTTCTAAGACACTGTACCAATTAACCGTGTTCTTCTAGAAGATGCGTGGCCACTGTCTTTCAGTTCATCAGATGCTATTAGAAAAAATTAACCATGTTCTTTAGTTTGTTTTTGTCTCGTTGGGAGGTTCATGGGATGATTAAGTTGGCATTTTTCTTCTCTTCTCTATATGATGTGAAAATATTTGGACTACAACCAGGAGATTAGTGAATCCAATGATGTTGTTGGCTGGAACTATATAGATTATGTCTACTTTGAGCAAATAAGGGCAGAGTAACTGATGCTATATATCAGCATTTAAGTATTATCACCCACTAGAATTTGGTAAGCAGGAGACTTTTTTGACATCTTACGTGAGGTTATTTCGGAAAGGTGGGCATGTTAGACCTAATATTAAATGATATTATTTTTAAAAATATTAAAAATTCTGGGCCGGTTTTACTATATGATTCGTTGATTGTTTAAATGTGCTTTCTCATTTGTTTCTTAAAAATACGCTAAAACAGTTTGTGGTTTATTGTGCAGAAATTTTTGGATAGTTCAAAACTAAAGAGGCATTTCTTAATTCATACTGGAGAGAGAGACTTTGTATGCCCACATGACGGCTGTGGTAAGGTGAGTTGAATCTGCTTTCTCGGATGACTCTTTTACGCTGCACCAAAGTCCTCTCAATATTCTTGTTGTGATTAGTTTTGCACATACCAAGTCTCGATCCTGTACTTTCTGTTGCAGGCATTCTCTCTTGATTTTAATTTAAGGTCTCACATGAAAACACATTCGCAAGAGAACTATCATGTTTGCCCGTATCCTGAGTGTGGAAAACGATATGCCCACGAGTACAAGCTGAAGAATCACATTGCCTCTCATCATGAGAAGGTCTGTTTTCCATTTCTTTTTTTTTTTTAACTAATATACATAAAGTTCAAGTAATTAATTAACTATTAAACAGACCATAAAAAGAATAAAAATAAAAATAAAAAAGAAAAGATTGATCTTGCACCACTTTCTGAGCAACCTTTCTCTATAGTAGTCAGTAGGTCGTTCATTTAACTAATTATGGTTGAGAAGTATCTGAAATATATCTTCGCTTATTCATTTCAAGAATCTGGATAAGCTACAACAATAAAACCTGAGTTAATTACATAAAAACCATAAAAAAAATAAAAAGGAAAGAAACTCAAGGTTTGGTTCTGTAATATGCTTCCACCCCATTCATAAGCCAAAGCATTTCAAACATCACCGTTTCATTTGTAATTGTAACAACTACCCCATTGATATTATTTTACAGCAAATTCAATTTCAAGCTAATCTTCATAATTTTTAAAACTTCTTCTAACTTCTGTTTTTATCATCATAAATCCAGCAACTCACACAGCACATGGCTGACCCACCCAAATATGTTCCTCCGCCTGCCGAAAAACCAATAAAAACCCCAAAAGCTCCGGCCAGCAAGCCCACGAGCCACGCAACACCAACACCCGAACGGCCCTATGCATGTCCCTATCAAGGGTGTGATAAGGCCTACATTCACGAGTACAAACTCAACCTTCACCTCAGGCGAGAACACCCAGGCCACTTTCCGGAAGAAAACGCCAGCAAACCAAAGGCTGCAAAAGACATGGACGAAAATAGCGACCAGGAGCAGCCTTATTCTGGGGGAAAACGTAAAGTTCAAAAACCACAACTTAACAGGCAGAGGCCAAATGTAAAGCAGCGGCCTCCAGCAAAAGCCCCTCAGCGGAAAGGCTCCACTGCTGTTGCTGGTGGAGCTTTGGGTGTTAGTTTGTCGAGTGTCGTGAGAAACCAGTGGGCAGCTAAGGAGGAGGTGTATGAGGAAGAAGATAGTGAAGAGACTGAGGAGGAACGGGATAATGTTGGAGCTGCGTGGAGATATGCAGAGAACAACGAGGAGGATGATGAGGAGACCGAGTATGAGGATTGAAGATGAATTTATTATCCCTTTGTTTTGTTACTGTTGTTCTTTATTAGATGAACAGAACGACTTTTTACTCTACTTTTTGTGTTTTTTGGGGGTGGTGTGTTGAAGTGTTAACATAATTTCCTTTCCAAAGCAAAAAAAGATGATAATAATAATTATTACAGTTATTTTCTTATGAAATTTTATTTTTACCTGCCAAAGTATCCTTGTGTTTTAAGTTGGCCATAAATACCTTTATTCTTGAAAATTTATCTCACGAAGTACACAAAATTGACAATTTTCTTCTATTAAAAATCCTAATATGACAAACAAAAAAAAAATAACTCAATTAACAATTAATTTTGGATTGATCTTTGAAATTAATTTAAGGCTTTTGAAGCCTATAATCGACCAACAAGAAAGGATGGTGCATGTGTGCATAGAAAAATTTCAGTTTAAATTTTTTTATAATCAAGATATCCAACTTTGAATCGAGAAGAAGTTTGCAGGATAATGTTTCTATCAAGGTAAGCCCTATAAAAATCTAAATGTTGGATTCTGATCAATAGACAAACAAGTTGACAAATATCTAGTTGTTCTTTTGGGCTGCTTTGCTCTTACCGTTGGATTTTCATAAGATTCAACTCATTTGAAATTTTGCCTACCTTCTTCGTCCATCAATTACTGACAAATCAATTTTCAGAAACCTATAAACCATAACTTATGTTTTTCTTCTCATCATGAGCTTCATAAGCATTAAATCAATTTTAAAGATCAATTCAAAATCCTAAAAAAAATCGGGTCATGTTAAAATTTTTAATAAAGAATGCAAATTATCAATTTCATGTATTTTGAGAAACCTTCTGTCCAGCATAAAAGTTTTTATACCCAATTAAAAATGGGATACTTTGCGAGGTAAATAAAAAATTTCTTTTTTTATTGAACTTTTCTCGATCTTTGAAGCGAAAAGAATGGTTGAATTATTTCTTAGGCCATCTCCATAAATCCTACCCTGAGTATCTCAAAAAGAATGGTTTCATTTTTTATAACAATGTCGTATACTACAATTGTACATGTAGCATTGTCCTTCTCCTAGCGTCATTTAACTTTAAAGACATCAATTTTTTATTAAAAAAAAAAAAAAAATGTGTTGTCCGTAGGATGAATAGTCTCTATAACTCAAAAATCGGTATCAGACATCGTGTGATAATCTAACGAAGCACATTATTAATTTCGTACATTCTTGAAGTTATACACATTTAACATTAGAGGTACTCATTAAATATTGTGTGTTCTTATTTATTATTGTTTATTCTTTATGTTATACGCATTAATATTGGAGGAGGGTACTCATTAATTAGTTTTGTACTTTCTTTAAATTGTGAAAAAATAATTAACATTGGAGGGTACTCATTAAACATGCTCCTATTTTCACTTTTTTTTTTTNAGTTTAAACAGGAGATCTACACAGGAAACCAGAATTCTTGTGTCCAGAAATCTTGTGTCTGTAGATCTGTTGCATAATTTTGGAGCAAGAATAAAAGATAAATTGGGACCGAATTGAAAAAGGTAGACATTATTCATGTCTTCAGAATAACAAAACAGACGCCAGTCATAATTTTTGTTCATAAGCATTGACATTATAAAGTACAAACGCTTCATTTCCAGCCCATCCCTTTAGAACAAAGGTAGAGCAGCACATTTGGTACAAACTACTGAAAACTTTAGTAATGGCAAATTTTCACTATAAATTCGCATTCGTAAATGTAATGATTTGCAGCGAAAATGAAGCATATTCCCTAGACGATGAACCACCAAAAACAAACATTCCAAGGCTCAAAAGCATCCTCAATGACTTGGAAATAGTTTAAACAGGAATCCCCGCTCCCCAAAATAACTAAACATGATAAACTCTAAAACAAAAAACGATCAAAGGATCCACATCCTGAAGCCATCTAATGGGATTTCACATACTCCTGAACAATATGAAGGCCCTCACTTTGTTCGCCATAATCCTGCAAGATCATTAGAAACTATTACGCTAAAAACCCCTAGTTAAGGGTATCATAAAATACATTCATCTGAATTTTTCATAGCCATGTACCTTTACAACAACACAGGAGCAACCAACCACCTTCCTTGCTTTCCCTTCAGAGTCGATCTTACACAGCTGAATGCAGAATGAGACAAAAAAAAAACGTCAATGACAAGATGAGAAAGTCTAAATAAAAGAGAGAAATCTCAACATTATTTATACTGACAACAGTATAAATCTGTTTAAAGCATAAAAACTGGAAAAAAATAAAAAAAAATAAAAAATTTAGAGCTTTGGATCTCACTGATGAACCTAACCAAAGTTATAAGCCCTGATTATACAAAATTATACACAAAGCAGGTTGAGGAGAAAAAACCATCAGTACATGGAATATCACATCAATATCGACACCTAAAGGTGCCTCAGACGACCGTCGTGAGATATTTATCCATAATCATCCTTTGGCCTCAATACTTGCTGCTAATTCAAGAAACCTCCTTTTTTATAATATTTATCGAACAGCCATTTCAATGATGTGTGCAAAAAAGGCCTCGTTCATTTTGAACTTACAAAGTCAAACACGGTTGCAATATATTATGTTCCCTTCTTAGATGTTCAGGTGGACATAGAGATCCCACCCAAATTCAACTGAAGGAATAAGCTGATTTTGGGTGCTTCATTCATCTCAAAGGCATAAAAATATGAGCCAATGAGCCAAACTTAAGCCCCATTGTAACCAATATAACATACTTTTAAAAAACATATCAGAAAATGCACTACAAAGTCACTCACCCCAACCCACTCGCCAAGAGTTTTAGCACTCGGCACAGTAATCAGGCTAACATTGTGATCTGCACACAGAGACTTCACCAGCTTGACATAATCAGTTTGGTCACAATCCTCTGCCAAGACACAAAGTTGAGCAGCATGCTTCTCAATAACTTTAGCAGCTTCATGGAGCCCTCGAGCAAGACCACTGTGGGCCCGTGACTTTTTCAAAACCAACTGCAAAGCAGTCATGATGTCCATAGGCTCCCCAAGAGCTGGGACTGGTGCTGGGGACTCTGCAACAGCAACATCCTCTCTGTAATGTGAGAAACATAAGCATTAGTAAAAAAAAAAGCCAATGAAGAAGGGAACAAAATAAGTAAAAGAACAAAATTCATGAACTTTCTCAAATCCTATTTGACTACCTTCAGGAGTGGGAAAATTGTACAGGAAACACATTAACAGGAGGCTAGCATGTACAGAGATTAGAGACAAGTACGGCAAAATTACAATAGAAAGTTGGCATTGCAGATGCAGTTGTGTGAATACCAAATAAAAAAAAAAAGGTGGATACCGGACACTGAGACTAAACACAAACAGATTAAATACAAAAAAGAAAACTGAGGTTTCTATACAACAAAATATACTTAGTTTTTAAAATTAGAATTCCCCTTTCAAAATTTGAAGTGTGGGCGGTGTCTTGATAAGGAAATGCAAACCTCGTGTAAGTTTGCAACAAATTAAAGGGTAGAGATTCTCTTCTTAAGATATCAAAGTTAAAATTTATAAATTTACACTGAAATTCAAATGAAAACTGACTATGCTGAAGAAACCTATTTTGCACTTTTAGCAGACCAACTTACCAAAAGAGAAGGCCTACTGACATAATGGAAGGAAATGCAATAAAATGGAATTCAACTACATCACATAACTGTCAGGAGAAACCCATTTTCAGACAAGAAAACCGCTACACCAGTCTACTATCAAATATACAGTTTGATAGAAACTATTTGTAAAATATGCAGCTTCAGAAATCATGAACATACTGAAGGTAAATAGTTTAAGCAATTACCCTGACATTTTTCTTCCTGATATGAACCTCGGGAACTTCTAACCTGTTGCTGCCATTTGAACAAGCAACAAAAAATCAGAAATAAAAGATGCAAAAGAAATGTAAGGACGCGATGCATCGCAAATCCATACATTATACTAAAAGAACTCTGAAAGTTGCTCACCTTCAACCTAATAATCAAAGGAAACGTATAACCAAAGCATCTAGATTTCTTTCTATCCGAGAAAAAAAAATAAAAAATAAAGCTCTGTGTCGGGTTTTATATATGAACCATTTCAAAATCGGGACTTTCAGTCAACGGCGAAAGCAGAAGTATAATTCCAAAATTGAAGTAGAAGTGTTGAATAAACATATAGCAAGCAAAGTCTTATGCATACATAAGGATGATTAGACTAACCTGCAGGTGGAATGATGCCGGCGCCGGTAGAGCTTGCTTCTGAAGAGGTGAAGAGGGTGAAGTGCGGTTTTATACTGACGGGAAACGGGGAAAGCATAAACCCTAACCAGTTAATCGCGATTTACAAAACTACCCTTCCTTATGGATGTTTATAAATCTGCATACGCCATGGGACGAGGGCTGATTTAGTAATTTGGAAACAATGTATTTCTATACGTATTTCTATATATCTATCATTGCATTTACTAGAAATAGCGGCTAAAAAATTCGGGTATAATGGAGTCATTCGAGAATAATTAAATCATACTATAATTGGTAAGAATTTAAATACTTTTTAAATAAAAACTAGAGCATTAAGGCTAGGTTTGGTAAGCCAAATAAGGTAGCTTAACTTATTTGGTTAGCTTACTTCTTGTATTCAAATAAGTCTCGTTTGGTAGTAGGACGAGCTTTTTTAAAAAGTTCGAGCTTATTTCATAAGCTACTTTAGGTAGCTTTTCAAATAACCTAGTTGAATTTTTTATTTCAACTAGTTTATCAGCTAATTTTACCAAACACTTTTATCATATAAGCTAGCTTTTCAGCTATAAGTCATATATGAGCTATAAGCTATAAGCTCAAAAATTACATATAATCTATAAACTAGTTTATCAGCTAGTTTTACCAAACATGGCCTAAACAGAGCATTAAATGAATGCATTAATCTTGATTTACATTTGTTAAATTGATAAATCAAGTCATATCTTTCTATTAATATATAAAGAGACAATGATATTTAAAAATCATTTGTATCACATAACTAAAATAAACTATTTGTATCACATAACTGAAATAGTATTACATAACTGAGATGATTTGAAATAGATTATTTGTATCACACAGCTGAAAATAATATCTAAAAATCATTTTTTAGATTTTCGCCTAAAATTTCAAGAATTACTAAAATAAATAAGTTTGTTTGAAAACTTTTGAAAAATCCCGCTTAAATGTGTTTTGAAAACTTTCGCAAAAAATTTAAATTTAAATATTAAAGAAAAAAAAATTACGTGCAGATTTTTTTTGGTACATTTCATCTTATATTAACTTCTATATAATTAGATTGCTGACAAACTCTTTATTGTATTTTAAGCAAAACTAAATATCATACATTCTTCCACTTTGTCAATATCAAATCCATAAAAGTGGACAAAAAGAAAAGGCAGATCAAACTTCAATTTTTAAGTACAAACACACAGATATCCACCTCAGCCGCCACAAGTGCCTATGGTGGCTCGACGCGTAGCCATATCGGAGTGTGGTCTTCTTCTGATTCGAGCGTAGGGGGTTGTTCTTGGCAGAACAATTGAGGGAGATGTCAGTGGGTCTGGAGGGCAACGGCCACCTATTTCTCTAGCCAGTCAGGAGCCCATCCGGCGCAGCAGTGGCGGATGTGGAGCCGAATCTGAAGGCGCTGCTGCCGGAGATATTGTGAATGGAGACTGAGAAATGAATTTTCTATTCTCATTTTATTATTATTATTATTATAACATCAGCCTTTGTTGACTCATTGTCTCAAGAAGAAAATCATAGTTATCAATTACTATGATTTAAAAATTATCAGTTTCTAAAATTATTAATATATATCATATGATAATAGTTATTTATATTAAAATAATAAAGTGGCGAACAAATAAATATATATTCAATTGAATGTTTTTGTCTAAAATATTATGGGACATTATTTTAATATAAAAGTACGTAATCCATGTGATGCACAAAGTGTAAAAATGAACCATATAAGTTAAATTATTAAAAAATGTTGATTAATCTAAAAACCTTATTTAATATATATATATATATATGTGTGTGTGTGCGCACACCTACTTCTATATAGGATCGCGCTCCAGTAAGAATAGTACTCAATGAAATAAATAATAATAAATCGTAGCCATTAAA